ATTAATCAGCTGTGAAACTGTCTTATTCATATTTATTTCAATAAAAAACTAAATATAAAAAATAAATAAAATAAAATAAAATTGTCTAAAATCACTGACATGGAAAAGGAACAATGAAGGCAATTATGTGTTCCCTGCAGAAAAGATTAACTGAAGACAGACGTAAGCTTTCAGTCTCCAATACAATTTAAATGAAACTTAAGTGAAAGGAGAAAAATGTAAACTCCCCAAGCACAGACACACACAAACGTGACGGTCTAGAGGAAGTACATGAAAAGTCAACAAATATAATCCAGCAGAAGGATTTAAAACCAAAGACCAAACCTTTAAAACTCAAATTCACCAAAGAAAATTAATGAACTGTAATTCTCAAATAAAAAATGTAAACTAGAAAATTAACATAAGCTTTTCCTTCTTTACTTTAGTACCTTGTATCTTCTAATCTCTAACACTATTTGTACAAACATTTTTAGGGTATTTTATATAGTCTAACAGGATTAAGGCTTCATAATAATAATGGACAGATCAAATTACTATACATTCAACAAAATTTAACATAATCCAAGTGAATCATGAAACACAAAGAATTCTAATGTCTAAGGATACACGGATTGTAATTTAAATACCTGCTTGATGTAAACACCACTCCTGGAAAACAGATCCACCAGCTCTGGATGGTTTTTGCTATTCTGGCTTCCATGACCCAAAGTAAAATTTGTATTATCACCCCAGGTATACACATCTGTAAGATCTGAAATGAAAAGTTTTTATACTTTCATATTTTAAAACAAACATCAGTTTAACTATAAACACACACTATTAGTTACTTCACCTAAAACATGATCCTTAACAAAAATTTATCATTATTTAGAAAAATGACAATAATTTTTAAAATTATAAATCCATTAATACAATTTATAATTCTAGGAAATTCTAGAAGTAGAATATTCAAATCACAGCACAAGGGGAATTGGGAGTACAGAAAAGTTACAAGCCACAGCTAGAATAGATGGCAACACAGAGAAAAGAACAGACGAGGGGGGTCTGCGAGCTCAGCCCAGCTCCTAGGAGGGGAAGCTGCCCACACAAGGTAAGCACCCAGTGCCGAAGCCCCAGGCACAGCCACTGGCTGGGCCAGCCCTGCGCCACCAGGAGGGGCCACAGCTGATGTAAAACTATGAAAGCAGCAGGGATTTCGTTCTGGCTCCTTCCACACAGCAGCCAACAGCAGGCAAGGAAATCCAGTGTAGTACCCACCATACTGCCAGACTTGCTTAACCAAGTGCCATTTGGGGAGGGGTTGATTATTTCAGTCTGGGACTGAGAACAACTAATAAATCAACTTGACTTCAGGGTTCCTAGTGTAACATTCCTAGTGTGACTGAGTTAGAGGCAACCACAGGTGACTGGCAGGGACAGAGGCAGGCTAGCGAGGGAAATCCCTGAGAAGTTTAAGCACAGGCAGGGAAAGACACTGGGGGCCAGGGAGATGGCTCAGTAGAATACATGCTTCCCTGGCAAACACAAGGGTCTGAGTTCAATCCCCTGTTCTGCTTAAAAAAAAAAAAAAAAAAAAAAAAAAAAAAAAAAAAAGACATGGCCCTCATCCTCCATGGTAAGAAGGTAGGCCAGGCTTGTGCTGTGTTCAGAAACTGCTAGATCAGAAAGTGCCAGGGCCAGGGCAGATGGCTCAGTAGGATAAGTGCTTGCCTGGCAAGTGCAAGGGTCTGAGTTCAAACCCTGGTTCCACCAAAAAAAAAAAAAAAGTGCCAGAATTAATTCTTTAAACCCTGCCTTTTGCCTATATCCAGCACACAGCAGAGGTCTGACTGTTTTCCATCTAGCAAAGCGAGCATGAACACGTCTTAATTTGGGCAACTGCCACAGCCTGGGATAAACAGAGGGGTCTCTGGGACACAGGGCACCTCACAAGCCCACAGGACACAAAGCTGCATGGAAGAAACCAAAGCCATATCTTGGTGGGTTCCAAAATTCTGCATCCTGGAAAGAAACTATTCCTTCAAGCACACAGAGAAAAAGTATTTTTTTTCCTATTGTTGGATTCAATTTGTTCTCACTTTTCTTTCTTTTTCAGTGGTCTACTGCAGATTTGGAAAATAGGCATTTCTTCTTTTCTAAGCCCTTTTTGCCCTTTGTTTTTTCATTTTAATTCTTTCCCTGTTAGTAATTTTTTACCACATTTATTATTTTTTCTCCTTGGTTTTTTCTGTTACCCATTATTCTAATTCTATAAAGGCCCTTTTATTCCTCAATAAGATCTTCTGTCTCATTTTCTCTCCTTCTCAACTTCTAAATTTTTTCTTCTTTCATTCTCATATTCTCCACCCCATGTAACCTTACTTGTGTAACCACCAAGCTTTATTAATCATTAGATAGCTCTATCTTAGCTATTGTGGAGTTCTTTTCTATTGTTAGTGGAGGTAGACTTGTCATATTTGGCAGATATTTTACTGGAGAGCAATATTTAGTGCTCCTGTTTGTGCCATAACTGTAGGCCTCTTCTCCACAGCTTATAGGCCAGTGACGGCAACCCTTATAGAGCTTTCAGTGCTGCAGCAGAAGTGGGTTCACCACCGCTGTTACAGCTGCTTATGATTCGTCACTGTCCAGTTTGTCTCAGATGTTATTGTTGCTGATCAACTTGCTATTGCCAGAGTCACAGTTTTCACTATTAAGTTATTATATTAATATAATATATTATTAATAGGTTATTATTATTATATTAGTAGGTTTTTCTCTGTAAACCAACATTTGGGTTACCTTTCGGGCACTAACAATGATCCACTCCTGGAGGACTGGGCACTGAGCCAACTATACTACATCTCTCCTTACCAAATCAACAGGTGGTCAAATCACAGGCAAAGGACTGTACTGAGCCAAGGCCAGAGTGCGTTACTGAAAAGCGAACTAACACGCTCTCCACATTAGCAACAGAGTCCTTCTATTTAACACACCTGAAAACCTCAGCACAACACAAAAAAAAATAATAGAAATTGAACAGGCAAGGCAACAAAATGCCTCCGCAACTCCCAACTCACCGATCCAGGGGGCATCTGGGAAGAGGAAAGCAAACCACGCACAGCCAAATTATTACAGAGGATAACATGCAATTAGAAAAGATCAGTAAGCACTCAGAAGGCTCACTGAACAAACACTGATGACATAAAATGATCAGGGCACTTAAAGAAGTCACTAATAAAAATCTAGCTGCGCTTAACAATACAAAACACGAATGGCAGGTTTACCAAAGAAACAAGACAATGAAAATAGGGCTGGGGAGATAGCTCACTAGAATAAGCACTTGCCTGGCAAGCGCAAGGTCTTGAGTTCAATCCCCAGTACTGGGAAAAAAATAAAACTAAAAACCCAGACAATGAAAATGTTCCAATCAGGAATGCAGGAGATTAAAAATTATAGTGAAAAGCATAGGCACAGAAGTACCCATGATGAGGACAGAGAAAAGACCAAATATTCAGAGACACAGTGGTGCCTCGGTTACTGAACTTAATTTGTTCTACGATCTCAGAAAACATAGCCACATGTGTTTGTGTGGGAAAGATGGCCTGCTTGCCACCCAATGCAAAGTTTGCAAACAAAAATCTATTTTGCCAGATGCCAAATTATTTGCAAACAAAAGCATTTGTGAACGGAGGAATCACTGTACCTTAAGTACAACAAGAGAATATGAAAAACAGGCCCAACCGCTGCCAGATGAAGCAAAAACTAATGTAAAATTAAATGAAAAAATAAAAAGTCAGAATTGCATTAAAAAAAGGTTAAAGAAAAAACTGACAAAACTTTCCAACTATGGGGAAAAATATTAAATATACAGATAAGGCACAGAATTTCAAATAGCCTGTCCCTAACACATCAACACTTCAAAAACTCCCAAAAGCCCAACATAGGACAGAATCCTTAAAAAGATGTCAGAGAGGACAGGCCAGATAGCTCAGCGATTAAAGCGCCTGCTTAAGCAGACGCAGGCACTGGGGTTCAATCCCCAGAGTGCCATGTCAGCCCCACCCTTGGTGTGCGCTGAGACAGTGACTGAGACTGGGCGTGGTGGTGCACGCCTGTAATCCCAGCACTTGGGAGGCTGGTAACAGGAGACTCACTATGAGTCCCATATATGTAGTAAGACCCTGTAGACCCTGTACTAAATACATTTAAAAAAAAAAAGAGGCAAAGTCAGCCAATACATATTGAGAATAATTCAACAGGAAGAATAACAATTATAAACATATATGCTCCAAACGCACCTATGCCCAACTTCACAAAACACTGGACATAAAAGTTTAGAAAAACACCAACACAATTATGTTGGGGGACATCAATAACCCACTGTCACAAATGGGAGAAATCAAGTAGGCAAAAATCAGCGAAGAAACATCAAAGTTCAAGGAAACTTTTGAACAACCGGATTTTATATGTATCTACAGATAATCAATCCAACAATCAAATGCATATTCTTCTTAGCAACACACAAGACACACACCAAAACACACAACATGCTAGCCCATAAAGCATGCTTAAGTAAATGCAAAAATATGTGACATTAGTCCATGAATATTATGAAATCATAGTACAATGAAACAAAAAATCAAAATTATGAAAAAAAATTATGCATACACATGGAAATAGCACAATACCGTCATGAATAATCAATGGTTCAGAGAAGAAATCAAGGAAAAAATTCATTTTTTAAAATCAAAGGGTAATATGCCAGAATCTATATAGGGTAATATGGGGCTGGGGAGATGCTCAGTAGAATAAGCGCTTGCCTGGCAAGCACAAGGGCCTGAGTTCAATCCCCAGTTCCACAAAAAAAAAAAAAAAAAAGAAAAATCTATATAAGGTAATATACCAGGACACAAAGAAAGGAGTCCTACAAAGGAAGTTTATAGTTATGAATGTCTGTATGGAAAAATTGTGAGTCCAAATAACCTAATGATGTACTCAAGATGCTCAAAAAACAAAAATCCAAAACCAAAGCTACTGTAAGAAAGGAAAGATAAGAAAAGAAATTAATATAATTGAGAGAAAATAAAGCAATACATAGAATCAATGAATCGAAGAACTGCCTTTGGTGAACAACCACATAACAGGCAATAAAATTGGAGAAGTAAAAAAAGAAAGGCCCAGGTCCAGATGGATGCATTGTTATTCTACAACTTTACAGAAGAACACCAATACTCTTCAAACTTTTAATAATGACACTGAAAGGGAAGTAGTCTCCAAGCCATTCTTGGAAGCTAGCATTATCCCTGGTTACAAAACTAAAAAAGGATCCAACTGAAAGAGAGAACCACATGTCAATCTCTTTAATGAACGCAGACTCAAAAATCTTCTACAAGATACTATCAAGCAGTTATACAAAAATTATTAAAAAGGTCATCAAGATGAAGTAGAATTCATCCCAATTTTGCAGGGATGGCTCAACATATGCAAATCAGTTAACATACTGCACTACTTAAACACAAGCAAGGACAAGTATCACAGGATCAGCTCAACTGACGCAGAAATAACCTTTGAGAAAGGGATGTCTGCTATCACCATTCCCATTCAATAGTTTCTGAAATGCTAGCCACAGCAATCAGGCAAAAGAAACAAATGAAATGTGTTTGTATAAGAAAGAAGTCAATTATTATTTGCAGAAGACATGATCTGCTATATAGAACATGCAAAAAATACCACCGAAAGACCCTAATAAAGACTCTATTAATAACTAAATCTGATAGCGTATTATGATACAAAGTCAACACAAAAACTACAGCATTACTGTACACCAATATAAACTCACAGAGAAAGAAATTAGGGGAACAATACCATTCACACTACCATTAAGAAAAATTAAATACTTAGCAATTAATCTAACTAAGTAAAAGACATCTACAAGAAAAACTGCAAAACTATGAAAAAGGAGATCAAAGAGAATAATAGAAAATAGAAAGCTATGCTCTCCTGGATAGGAAGAACCAATATTGTTAAATAACCACATTTCCAATATGCACACTCAGATTTAATGTAATCCAAACAAAATACCAACATCAATCCTTACAGTACTACAGAAACAATCCTACAATTCTTTTGGAACCACAAGCAACTGAGAACAGCAAAAACAATCCTGGGAAACAAAAGCAAAGCAAGAATATCACAATCTCAAAATTCAAGTTACACTTCAAAGCTATAGTGATTTAAAAAAAAAAATAGCATGGTATTGGCAAAAAGAAAAAAGACATGTAGACCAATGGAACAGAACAGAAGACGCAGAAACAACTCCAGACACACTGAGCTACCCGATCTTTGACAAAAGGGCCAAATACTTGTACTGGAGGAAAGACAGTTGCTTTAATAAATGATGCGGGGAAAAGTGGCTATCCATATACTAAAGATGGAATGTAGTTCTAAATTTCTCCCCATGTACTGAATCAGTATCAAAATGGAACAAAGACACAAATGGTAAAATAGAAACTCTGCTTGAAAATAAAATTGTTAAAAGACTCTTGGAGACATTGGCAGGGACTTTCTAAACAGAACCCTAGAGGCACAAGAAACAACGCCATGAATAAACAAAGGGAATCATATCACTGCTTCTGCACAGCAAAGGAAATGACAGCAGAGACAAGCTACAGAACGGAGGAAATAATACCTATGAGGACTAATATCTAGAATATACAAAGAAGTCAAACAAATGATCCCCAAAATAAAAGACCCAACCAAAATACAAACAATGGAAATGAAGAGAGGATTTCTTTAAAAACACACACGGCAAATAAACACATGAAAAACAATCCAATAGCTTCAGCCATTAGAGAAATGTAAATTGAAATAGTACCGAGATTCCATTTTACTCCAGAAAGAATGCTCATCATCAAGAAGTCAAATACTAATATATGCCAGTGAGGGTAAAGAGGGAAAGGAACTCTTCTCCAAAGAGTTAAAGACGAATTACAGTAATACAGGCATACCCGTTACAGCACCACAACTCACCAGAACGATATCTTGGAATATACATCCATCAGTGGATGACTAGTGAAGAAAATGTATTTATACACAACGCACTACTATTCTACTCTGTAGAGGGATAAAACTGAGGCACTTGTAGGTAAGCAGATGTCCAGATCACAAATGTTAAGTGAAATAAATCAGACACACAGGCTTAAATACTACTTATATTAAATATGTTTCTCCTTCACAAGACACTCAAAGTATCAATAAAGACCAAACTTTAAATACACATAGTAGGAAACAGGGAAATAGATCTGTTGCAAACAGGGATGTGATCAAAGATGGAAGGAGAATAGAGGAAGAGGGTTAAACAAACAAAAAACAACTGAGGTATTTTAGATATATGTACCAATTCCCCTAAGTGTATTAAACATGTACTAAAAAATAAAAATAAAAAATTGAAAAAGAAGTATCATGAAGAATCTAAAAAAAAAAAATCACTGGGCCAATCTGTCTCCAACAAAAATGATTAAACATTTGTTTCTTGCTTTTTAGCAGCTAAAGTTTAATGGCCAAATGAGCCCACGGTGAGCCAATCACCATCTGCCATATCTACTTAGCTTCCACAAAAATACATACAATTAAATATATTATTAATTCACATATATAAATGCTGTAAATGAAACAAATGCTGACTTCAATGTTACACAGAACCATTACTTGTCAACTATTTACTCTTGATAGATACAAAATCACAATAGCCTTTAGGACAAGATTCTATTAAACCAGAGTTGAAATCATAGCTACATTTATGATGTAAATCATTTTTATTCTAGAAGAATCACAGAGTCATAGAATGGAATTAGAACTGTTACCTGCAAATGTACTGCCCAAGGTAAAAACAAAGAATAGATCCTCATTTACCTTAGATGCAAACTATAGTTACCCCATTTAAGTTTTCTTTTTTGCCAATTTCCATTTCCAAAGCCCAATGCCCAAAAACTGTTAACAAATTTGAGGCCTAAAGTGAAATCACAATGTGTGGGTAGAACAATTATTTTCATTCCTTTTTCACTCTAACTCAAATGCTATTATTTTCTCGATCCACATTAATCACCTTCAATAGTCTCTAAGTGCCTCCTCATTTTGTTATGTTTTTATTTTTATAAACAATATGCATGAATGGAAATTGAAAAATGCAAAACAAAGTGCTTTTAATGTAAAGTCAACATATGCCAAATAAAGATACTCTGCAGATACCCAAACACAAATCTCCCCTATTATTTTTATAAGAATAAAATGATATTAGGCCAGAGAGATGGCTCAGTGGAATAAGTGCTTCCCTGGCAAACTCAAGGGTCTTGAGTTCAATCCCCGGTTCCACAAAAACAAACAAGAATAAAATGATATTAAAATTTTTCTAAACTGAACCTTAGTGGACTCTATGTGTGGAATTTTCTTACCAGTACTTTTGAATACTACATGAGCTGGTCTATCCTTCATTAGAAGATCCAAAGCTGATAAGCCTTCTTTATCTTGTACATACAGACTAACACCATGCTAAAAAGGGAAAAGAGTACACATGAGCATATGTTTTATCAGTTTACCTGTAATTTTCTATTCTTAATTGTCAGAAGTCAGATGATCAAGCCCATAAATATAGTGTAAAAAGTAAAACTTTTAATAATAATGATCTCTCATATTCATTTTTTTTCTCACCTATAGAAAACTAAGAAAAATCAAATATCTAATTTTGGGTGAGAAGGACCAGAAAATGCAATGAAACAAAATAGGTAATAAAACAAGTCATTTAAATCCTAATGAACTACATAAGTAATAGTTTTCCTAACTCAGCGCTCTAATTCAGATCCGGAATGTCTCCAAAGGGCTATGAACAAAGGTTCAGTGGGCAGCCTGTGGCATTCACGGGACGTGCCCAGTAGATGTGGCCTCCCAGCTGTCCTAGGTACTGTGGGTTTGCCCTCTGAGACCCCGGTGTGGTGCCCTTTTCTTCTCTCTCTCTCATTTCCCAGCCACCATTCAGTGAGCAGCTGGCTACAAATTCACTCCTGGGCAGGATGTGCTACATTACCACAGGCCACGGCGAGGCCACACCACAAGCACGATCTGAATTTCCAAAACTGGAGCAAAACTTTTTCAAAAATTCTGCATGAGTTATCTCAGGGATTTTGTTATAGTAGAAAATTAATACACTAAGAGCAGTCTGTCTAGAAGACTATTTTTTCTAACTCTAATGTATTTGTGTGGATACATATATTTGCATAAACACATTCACTTTTTGTAGTTAAAGAGCCATATTTGGGCCAGGGATATAGCTCAGTGGCACAGTACCTGCCTGGCAAGCACAAGGTCCTGAGTTACATTCCGAGAGAAAGAGAGAAAGAGAGACAGAGAGACAGAGAGACAGAGAGACAGTGAAACAGTGAGCCAGAGAGCCAGAGACAGAGAGACAGAGAGAGTGTGTTTCCTATAAATCACATAGTTAGACTGTATTAAAACATGTATTATAAGGAGAAATTTAAAGTATAATTTCATTTCTTCAATTCAAACATGAAACTGATTTTCTTCTGTCTCAAGTGTATAAATTTACACTTTACCCCATCATCATACTTCTCTGTCTTTTTGAACAAACTTATGGGTGGGGAAGATGACAGAGAGCAACATTAAATTCAGATTTCATTTCAGTTATTAAATATAAAATGTTATCCCTTTCCAAGAATAACAATACTTGCTGACAGTTTAATAAAGCTTTCAACAATTATTCAGATTTATCTATTTTAAGTACTGGTAGTAAACTGCCTGTCACATACAGTTTACCTGGTTGTCATAAGCTGAAATGAACCATAAAGGTCTTTCAAACACCGAAGGTGACACGACAGTGTATTCTGTTTGGGTTACTTAAGAAAACGTCACCTCACCTTACATTATTAACACAGTGCATTTCTGTAAACTAAAACCAGATTCAGTTTCCTTGTATTCCAGATGGTTATAATACCTCACTCCACCAGGCCTATCAATTTAAAAAGATCATCATAGTATGGCTAGGGAGATCGCTCAGTGGCATAAGCGCAAGGTTCTAGGTACTACATGCCATGCTGGCCCCGAAACCAGGCACGGTAAGCACACCTGTAATCCCAGCCTTGAGGAGGCTGAGGCAGGAAGATCACTACGAATCCAAACTGCGCAGTGAGACCCTATGTCAACTAAATAAAAAAGATAACCATAGTATACTCACAAGTAAAACAAGAGTCAGAAGTGTTTGTCTAAGGTCTTAGTAAATTTAAAAGTTTACATTTCAAAAATGGATATAATAAATCCTTCCAGGGAGAACATGAACTTGGCCTTTACACGCATAAAGAGGACAGATTTAAGGGCTGTGTGTTACAAACTATGAATCTGATAAGACTTTAATAACTTAGATTAAGGGAAATTTATTTTATGAAAATAGCCCTGAATTTTATATAAGCCAACTGGATCCTTAATAAAACCATATTCGTTTGCATCCTAACTAGACTCACAAGTATAAACCACTAGTGACAAGTTTTTGCCTTTAGAGCTGTCTATGCACTCTGACACTGTTTAATACGTTTATCTTGAATTCTAAAGGTTAGGACCAGCATGTAGTCTGCGTTACTTAAAAACTCTATACATTTACCAAAATGGTGGATTAAATAGTATATACCACTATCTAAGTATATACCAGGCTTTACACATAGTTATTCCATTATAAAACAGTGGTAACACTATTAGAGATGACTGTCAGGAAACACAAAAACTGATTTTGTTTGTTTTGACTGTACTACCCAAAGCAGAACATAAGACAAAGTCTTCCACAGTGGTTTCCTTGGGAAGAGATTCCTGAAAGGAGCAGTGAAGAACCAAGGGAATAAAGCAAGGAAGGAGGAGACAATCCACAGGAGAACATAGCACTGCATAGGTTCGTAAGCCATACGGAGAGCTGCGCAGAACGCGTGGGATGTTCCAGCTTACACAACACATCACAGAGTGATTATCGTCCAGGGAGGGATAAAGGGAACAAGTGTTTACCACAGGCTTCCACTCTCCAGCAGCCAAGAGGTGCTTGCTCTGACAGAACTTCACTCTTACACCTCAGCCAGTCACACAGGGGAGCCAAGATCCAGGGCGCACAGAGGCACACAGTACACCCACAGATAAGACACAGATTATACCGCCAAAGGCCCATATAACTGGGAAGAGGAGAGGCCAAGAGAAGGTCAAGTCGCTTCACAGAGTACCCAATGCACTTGCTTCTCAATTTGGTTTGGAGGTGAGCTGAATGAGTTTGACATAGCTCTCTTGCTTACCGCTGCCTATTTACTACCAAAAACATCAAGATCAAAGACATGGCAGGGTTGGCCAGGGGCCAGGGAGATAGCTCCGTAGAAGAAGAGCCAAATAGCTCAGCAGATTAAAGCACCTGTAAACAGGTGCAGGGACCGGGACCCCCGGGATGTGCTGAGATGGCAATTGAGACTGGGCATGGTGGCGCACACCTGTAATTCCAGCTCTTGGGAGGCTGTAAACAGGTGGATCACTACAAATCCAATCTAGTAGTGAGACCCTGAACATCCTATAAACCCTTCCCTAAAATACAAAAAAAAAAAAAAAAAAAAAGAAAGAAAGACATTCCACCATTACAATTTCCAGTATAAAACAGGAATGCAATCTGTACTACTTCCTTCAAGGTGATTTTTAATGCTCTTATAGCACTTCTGGATAAATTGGCTAGAGGCCCTTGCTCTAGAGAAAATTTTAAAAAATAGGCATTCTCTGACAGAAAATAGAAAAAATAAAGGTATTTTGATAATGACATGGTCTTAGTATAATGAACAAGGAGTTGTCTTAATAGATAACTATCCCTAGGTAGAAAGCAACCTTCAGGGGCCAAACAAAAGATATGCATACATAAGATATGCTATCTCTACTATAGCTTTTTGCAGATGGCCAGTTTCTAAGGTTTTATAGTTTTGAAAATCAAGAACTGAAGTTAAGAGAACATAATCTGTTGTACAATTTATTTTGACATTTACTTTTAAAATTTTATAACTTTGAAGATTTATCAAATGCAAATTCACTGAAAACGTCTAAGTGCACGTATGTGGTTTCTTCCAGCCATCCACACTTGAATCGAGGAGGAACTATTGGAATCGAGGTGGAACTATTACACAGGTGGGACACTGAGGGCTGAGGGTTCAGACTCCTCCACCAGCTGCAATGGAGCACCAGGCTGGCATCTCCCCCTCCCCCATAAGCACCCTGCTCCACCCCCTAGAGCTCTGGGACACCTCAGGCACGCTCCACAGAACCCCAGACCAAAGCACCAGCTAACCTTTTTTGGGTCTGGCTGCTGAACCAGAGAGTCTCATTCATCCTCTGCCAGCTATTTCTCTGTTGAGACCTTCAGTTAACAATACTTTTCCTCTACCATTATGTGTGTGCTCTGCAATTCATTCCTTGCCCGACACAGGAAAGCAGAATCCATTAGTAGCATCCACCATGTGATGAACACTATTCCAAAGGCCCCAGAATGAAGGTGTATCACTACAGCCTTCCAATTAGCAGAGTGCTGGAAGGCTGAAGGAAAAAATGAGTGAAACAAACGCATATAGCTTACAAAAGAACACAGTACTAAAGGATTTTGTAGGAAAGTTTTACCAGTGGAATCCTACTAGACCACTATGAAATTATGATAAAAGACAAGTCAAGCTAAGAACAAGGTGGCCAAGGCACAATTTTCTGACTTCTTCTAGCCAGGCTGGTGAAAATGATCGAGGATGGCAGAAAGAAATGAAATTCCAAAATGACCTAAGGCTGAAGTCCCAAATCTTGGTAAATGAATGGCAACAACTCCCTCCCCATAGATAGCAGGAAACCCAAGTACCTTCTCAAGCTGAGCCAAAATGTCAGTGACCCAGTATTCCAGCAAAAATTACAAAACTGCCATTGTTTCATAGGTGGAAAATGTAAGAATGAAGCTGATCGATATTTTTACTCTTACTAACCTACTTTCTTATAAAAGAGATTACTTAGGGAGTTAAGAAACATTATAATGTAATTAAGCACACTATATTTTGGATATGAAAGGAATTTACTGTACCATTAATAAACTTAAATCCTTATTAATGTTCACTCAGGGAAAAAAGTTGTAGACAAAACTCAAATTTGAGGAAGTTACTCAAGATAACTCAGTAAGCAGCATGCCTAAGCCAATGAGCTGAAAATAATCTGGTATTCTACTAACATATATTAAAAATCTTTTTTGCGGGGGGGGGGGATATTGGAAATCAAACTCAGGTCCTTGCACATGCCAGGCAGGTGCTTAAGCTGCTGAGCAATCTCCCCAGCCCTTAAAAATGATTTTGATCAGTAAATATTACTATGTGAAAGCTACTACATAAATACTTGTCTTAAAGGCAAAAAGAAATGAGAACATTAAAGGCTAGCTTCTAACTTGAGTACAAGTGTATGGAGGGCATGATCTGCTTTGTTCTCTCTTTGGGAACCTGCACAAACAAAATAAAATGTCTACACAAAATAGTTATTAAAACTAATGTTTATGACTTCTGATAGTTTTAATTTTAAATTTTTTTTGATTTATTTATTTGACACAGGGTCTCGCTATGCAATTCAGATTGTAGTGATACTCCTGGCTCACTCTCTCCAGCACTGGGATTACAGGCATGTGCCAGCACACCCAGTTCCACGGCCAGCTTGGCACGCCCAGGGTTCCAGGACAGCAAAGCATGTGGCACAAGGGCTCGAACTCGGGATACCTTATGCACACCAAGCAAGCACTTAGACCACTGAGCCTGATAGTTTTAAGTTTTGTTTTGTTTTTTATGTATTTGGTTTAGGGTCTCACTACATAGCTCAGACTCACAGTTATCCTATTTTCAGCCTCCCCAGCACTGGGATTACAGGTGTGCACCACCATGCCCAGACTCAGCCAGCTTAGCGTGCCCGGGGCACCAGGGAACAAATACAGTGACAGGGATTGAATCCTGGTCCCTGCGCTTGCCTAAGCAGGCACTTAGTCTGCTGAGCTATCTTGCTGGCCTTTCTGATAGTTTTAATTTGCATTCATTAGTTAAATGACACTGGGTACATCTCAAAACATTTCATTAAAGAATAGGCTCAATCTACTAAATGAAAATTTTCTTATACATTAAGCTGAATTCATCAATTTTTTTACAACCATAAACATTTTATCCTAAAAAAAAAAGGAACCTATTACTCAAAAACATGTCCACAGGTGATGTTCAACTACTGTAAAGTGTATTTTTAAAAATACTAAACAATCTTGTTAAAAAATGAACTGGGATGCCATCCATCCCACTGGGGCAGCTCTAGCACGTTAAGCTTATGCAAGCAGACCAAAGTCCAACATAAGCCAAACTAACCCCCAAGGAGGGTCTTCTCGCGCTGGCTAACGAAACACATTTCCTGGTCTTATTGTGCCATCAGCCCATAAAAGCTTACTGGTCATGACACTGCAGCAGAGCTCTTTAAACTCTGCTTGTATGCACGGCGCAGTCAAGACTCACTCCTTATTCAAATAAACTACAGTAACTTTATTTTGCCTAAAGTTTTTCTTCACATTATATTGATTAAATGGTAAAATGTCTAGGAGTTACTTCAAAATAATATGGGATACAAACCTAACATACAGCTGCCAATAGTTCATTAGGTAGCACAAATTTTGATATGTTTAAAGTTTTATTTCATAAAGTTAAACTTAAAAAGTTTTAATTCTAAAGATAACTTGTAATAATACCAAATTATAAGAACAAATGACAATCTTAGAAAGGCAGCCATATGAAAAGGATTAAGAAGAACACGAGCCTGATTAAGTAACAAATGACACCCACCTTCACCAGAGCCCAGGCGCAGTCAATGTGCCCATAAAAGGTGCTCCTGTGCAGCGCTGTCCAGCCCGACTCCAGGTCTCTCACCAGCGGGTCCACTCCTTTCTCCACCAGCCAGTCTATCACGCCCCTCTTCCCACAGGAGGAAGCAAGGTGGAGGGCATTCCTGCCAAAGGCGTCTCTGATGGTGGCCGCATTGTGGCAGTAGCTGGGGAGAAAAGCCTTGATCTGGCTGTCGCTCCCCTTTGTCACAACGGAAAGGATGTCCAGAGCATGCCTCAGGGACCGACACTTGGACGTGCAGTCGGGGAGGGGAGAGCTCATCCTAATTGTTTATTTCTGCAGAATAATCAGCTAAGACTGTTTTTAAAAATGGAAAAGCCAGGACACAAATGGGCAATTCAGGAAGAATTACAGAGAATAAGTTACCCTCTGGGGGTTATAATGGAGATCTTCACAGCAATATTATATTATAAAACTATATATCTTTGTATAATCTTTTTGACCCTTAAATCAAAAAATGTAAATAGCTCTATAAAGTTCATACCAAATACAAGTTCATTTTAAAAAAAATTCCACAGTTCATAAATGATTCCTGGAGTCCAGCACCAAGGGGGAGTGAGGAGGGGAACTCCCCCTCCACACTGTCTGATCCTTTTAAATATCCATAATTGCGAGGGTGACCTATAAGGGAAAGAGAAAGTAAAAAATTAAATCTCTCACTTTCCTTAAGTACTTTATAATACAACTATCCCAGCACTTAAACATCCTTGATCCCTAGTTTAAAAGGCGGGGAGGGAAATGATTTTTTTATGTCTACAGCTCTACGTTGCTGTCCGTTATACCTGCCTCCTTTTTTTCTACTTTTAAGGTTAAGGTTAAGCTCTAAGAGATGTGATTGAAATATATGATGTTTGTTTAAACTGAAATATACAGTGTTTAACTTTTAAAAAGTTAAAGACAATACTGACATTAGTTCCCCTCAAAATTCTCCTCCTCACTTCAACCACACCTATCCCATTGTCCCTGCCACTTTCCGAGGCCCTCCGAAGCACTTCTGCATGGGCTTGGTCATGCTGTCCGACCGCCTGACACCGTGAAAAAATTCAAAACATTTACCTTTCAGCATCATTTTAACTTTGAGGCAACCAGAGGGCACACAGTGCCACACGGATGAATGAGGTGACACACCACATTACATTTTTAGAAATTTGCCTTTCCATTACAGGGCATTCAGCAGCAGCATTCAGGTTATCTTGAAAAGACAAGAAAACGGACTTCCAGAAATGGCTGAGAACATGGCAAGGACCATAGGACAAGCGCTGACAGCGAAGTGGGGCAGCTGAGGAGGTGAACGGCCATGTGCCCTTTACCGTTTAGGTGCACGGTGTATTTTTCAGTCACTCCATGTATGTCTGTACCTGGAAGTGACACTCTTTCCTTCCAGAACTTTCATTTATGCATTCTGGAAGCCATGTCCCCAGAGGCTACAAGCACATTTTAACCTACCATCTTTGTAAGTGTCCTCAACCCAAACTTTACCTGCTACAGCTATATCACCACAGCAATAACCAATACTATCATCATGTAATTAACTACGTTAGAGAATTTTACTAATTTTTTGGCCTGGAAAGAATTACACTACAGAAGATGATAATTAAGAATATTAAAGCAACCACATAACTATCTGGAAAAAAATAACTTTAGATACTTTATACCTTATACCTAACATAAATTCTGGCTGGCTTAAAGACAAACATACCACATCAAAAAAAAAAAAAAAAAACAAAAAAACAAAAAAACACTAGACAAAGACACAGGACATGCTTTCATAATTACAAAACATAAAAGGCCTTTCTAAGTATGATCTACATATCTAAAAGTCATAAATTGAATATATTCACAATTTAGAAACTATATAGAAATATAAAGATAAAAAGGAGAAAAGTCTTCCTTAATATATACTCTCTACAAATCTAAACATACAATCTCTAAGAGCAGAGAAAAAGAGCAGGTTCTTTAAACACACACATGTGAATTTACTGTATGTACAGGGGAAACTTCTGTGTGCCAGATATAGAGATGAGACACTCCAAATCTACAGTTTCCACACCCACTTTAAGTCATACTAGCATAATTCTGAGATCTAACTAATATCTTATTCTTAACTACCAGATTCCCCTTCTGGAAATGAGGGCACTGAATTAGCTGATTTTCTTTCTAGCCCCAGTTTTCTTTCTATTCTACACTTCTTAATTTAATATAGTCCTTATAAAAACTATCCCCAAAAAAATGTTGATTTGAACCAAAAACAAAAAGAAACAGAAAGTGTTTAGTAATCAGCTAGTACAAAAAAAAAAAAAGAAAAGAAAAGAAAGAAAGAAAAAGAAAAAGAAACAAAGCCTCTACTTTAAAATGTTAAAACTGGAAAACATGACATTAGGCAAAATAGTCACATAAAATTAATTTCATTCTTTTTTGGTTTTTGGTACCAGGGGTCGAACTCAGGACCTTGCCCTCGCCAGGCAGGCACTTATGCCACTGAGCTATCTCCCCGGCCCTCTTCTGAGGCTATAAAATCTTACCATCTTTGTATTTCCAGTATACTGCTAATACCTGAAAGGAACTTACTAGTGAACCACTCAAATCGTACATGAAAAACTTAAGGCACAACAAAAAGAATTTCCTACTTTGTATAATTTTGACATTTAAAAGAAAAACAAAGACGTACTAAATACAAAAATCGCACCATACTATCATATAGATAGAACTACACACAGAATACTATGAACACAAATATTGAAGTGTTTAAGAGCTAGTGTTCTCTAGAGCCCTACATATTTGGATTCAAATACAGCAAGGCCAGCTGTTACCAGTTATGTAACTGTGAAACTTGTATCATCACTCCAAGTCCATCTGAAAATGGAGATAAACATCCAAACTCAGCGCTTTGTAACAACACATGAAACTACACACAATGCCTAGCCTTAAATATACATTCAACAAGTAGTAGTCTTCATTACAAGCATAATGAATTTTAACATGAAAATTCATTATCAGCTTCAGTATCACCACTGCTTGATACTCCTCCAAGGAAACTAAGCCTATTAAAATGAGTAGTGACCTCCAAACTACCACAACTTTTTGGATACTTGTACTTCTTCTCTAAGTTGCCGTCCAGGTTTTGAAGTCTGTAAGCACATTCTCTTCAAGAGTCTAGAAGGACCCTGAAAGCCCGGAAGTCAGGAGAGCCTTACGAACAAGGGTCTCTCTCCCACAACTTTGCAAGGCATCATCCTTACCTGATGGGCAAGTGCTGGGCTCCTCCCAATGTTTTATCCTCAATCACCTTTGCCTTTTTCATATATTTTTTTTGGTAATTTCAGGTTTTTGCCTGTACAGTGACAGGCTGCTGAAATCCCTAAATCTGCCTCCTACCTACATGCTTCTCCTAAACTCTCAGCCAATATTGTCTGTTATAAATATTTATGTATTTTTAAAATGTTATTTAAGCAAAGGAAATATTTACGGAAGATCTAATACACACTAAATATTATACATCACAGAGATGCGAAACAATCTCTATCATACCACTATCATACCATATAGATTTGAGACATTCCAAATCTATAGTTTCCCTAAAGCAAAGTTAGAACTCAAACACTGATATGCTTGACAATAAACAAATGCTACACTGCCTTCTCCACGGCATCCATGGTAAATTACAAGGCATTAGGAACAGAAAAACGAAGACGTAAATATTTAAGACACAGCTTCAGGGATAACAAATATACCTATCTAATTTAACTGTACTGAATGAACAAAAATTTTTGTATATAACAGACTCTACAGGAATAGAGGTAGAGGAGACCAATTTTATTTACACAAGTAATAGCAATATAAAAAAGCAATACATGAAGTAACCTAAGAGTTAAAAGATGAGTTTGCCAAATAACTTCCAAGGAAGAACAATCCGAAGTACAGGTAAAAGCACATATAAAAGCACTAGAACCATCGTGGTCCATCTAAAACTTCTACATAACTCAGAAGATAGAAAGGACTGAGATCCAAGTATAAGGAAAAGCCATCTTTTGCACAGCCTTGTGCACTTTCCCTTAAGGATAAAGTAAGTGAGCAACTCAGAGGCATAGTTAGGACTTTGAATTGACAAGATGCAACAATAACTCCCATATTCATGGTTTACATGATACGCCAAATAAGAAGAGGAATAAGGGGTAAAATCAAAACTCAAAACAAGGACCAGCCAAATAGCTCAGCGGGTTAAAGCACCTACAAGCAGGCACAGGGGCAAAGGGTTGGATGCCCGGGCCTGCCCTGCCCGCTGAGAAGGCACCTGAGACTGGGCATGGTGGTGCGCCCCTGTAATCCCAGTTCTTGGGAGGCTTTAACAGGCAGATCACTATGAGTCCCATCTAGTAATGAGACCCCAAACACCCTGTAGACCCTTCCCAATACAAAAAAAAAAAAAAAAAACCCTCAAAACAAGTCTAAACAAAGGAACAAACAAGGGTCGGGGATATAGCACAGTGGCACAAGTACCTGCCTGGCAAGTACAAGGTCCTAACCTCAATTCAGAGTACAAACACACATATACACAAAGGAACAAACAAGTCATGGATTTTTCATCCATGACAGTGATGAACGGAAACAGCTGAGAAAGTGTCCCTGGTCAGCTATGAAGAATAGCCCACCTAAAAAGCTGTACCCACTGGAACAGCCCAGAACATTGGCTGGCAATCCTAACTTATCCACAAATAAGTGCTCAGCTATCCCATAGAAATACAGATCTGATCATGTTGCATTGTTTTGTTTGACACAGTGTCTCACTATTTACCCAGGCTGGCCTCAAACTCAAAGTGGTCCTCAGGCCTCAGCCTCCGGGGGGGAAGGCATTACAGGTGTTCATACCCAGCACAAATATGATCATGCTGTTTCCTAACTTATCCAAGATCAAACTGAATCAATATTCACGTACCACACGTTAAACATCACCTTAAGACCTCAGGAAGGGGATTTCAGTTAAGAATGGAGACCTTAAAGCATATGAAGTTCAGGCTCAGAATAACTCTGCTAGCCACCCAGGTACACAACTAACTAGCTAAGTGACCCTGAACACATTCCTTAATTTTCCTGAGACTCGATTCTCTCATTTGTAAAGAGAGGTAACTTGCCTGACTTGTTCTGAAAACTAAATCAGGCAACACATTCATTCATAAATTAGAAAAAATTAGAGGAAAAAAAAGAAGAGAACAAATCAGAAAATATACCCTATTGGGTTCTTTTCTGATTTGAATGCTTTCCACACATTCATGGCTTACAAATATAATTCCTACCACCTTCTGAATTTTTATATGGACATAGTTTTGTATAAAGTAACATTTAATTCTGACTTCAGTTTCATTATTGCCCCTGTAAATATGACTACCTTCATTTTGCAATGAAAAAATGAGTCGATCTAAAAATGGAATCAAGAGAACAGTCCTCTACATACCACCTACTCTACCCCAATAAAATGACCTCTGAAAATGCAGGTAGGAAGGCTTTGGTGACAAGTACAGTGCAGATGAGAAAAATCGCCCAAAGTTCTGGTCACTGGAATTGGGCTGCTCCATCTAAAACCCTGGGCAGGCAATAAGAACATCAGCTTTCTAATCATCAGATCCTTCACTTGTGAAATGACAGCAATGACTAAGAGTGCTCCCTACCTAGACAAGGAGTTCTTGGAGGGAAGGGAGAGGGGAAGTTGCTACACTCCATTCCTCTCAGAACACACGTTCAATAAGTAGGTTTTATTTTTTTGTTTCATTATTTTGGTTTGGGAGTCTCACTTTGTAGCCCAGGCTGGTCTCAAACTTGCAATGATCTTCCTGCCTCAGCCTCTGGAATGCTGGAATTACAGGCATGTGAAACCAGCCAGGGCTCAGTAGATTGAAAGTCTTCTTTAAAAGAAAAAAAAAAAAACCTCCCCCACAAACTTGTATCTGTACTAAGCTAAAAGAAATGTTATAAGCTATAGATTAGTGACTTATAACCATGAAATTCGAAAAATTAGGTACTAAAAATATATTTGAGCTGGGGAGATAACTCAGATAACTAAGTTCGATCCCGAATGCCAAAACAAACAAAAATATATTTGAAAATACAAGCATCTACAACTTTTGAAAATTAATTTGTTTCATTAATACATTTTAATGTCTCTCAAATAGTCTCAGTATAAAATCTAGCATAAGTAATTTTCAGTGAAATGTCTATTTTTAAAATCAAAGAGACCAAACTTTAGGGGGCAAACGTATTTCTAGCTGTGACAAATTATTCCTCTAATGATGATAATAAACCAGTGTATCAGCCAAGTACTACTGAGCTTCTTTACATAATAGGTATATTCACTTTAGTCTACTGAATTATATACTTCAGAAGCATTTTGTCAGTTTAAAATGTAGTAAAAGGTCAGCACACTAAATTGAGCATATGAGAAATTCCAAATACAATCTAATTTGGACCATACCCATCTTCAACTTTTTCTTAAATTGTGGTGAGAATAAATTTTGCAAATGTAAAGGCTTCTTTCTGTCTTCTCAATGTCTCAAAGAATGCAGTAAGCAAAATGGAAACGGGCAATGTTCAGAGAGCCTGTGCGTTTGTACCACACTGTAGGCAGCAACAGCCAGGGCTGGCATTACCCGTTTATAAAAGTCACCACCTTTCAGTATTTCCGATAAATTTCCAATTTCAAATGCCCTACCACTGAGCCTCTGAAAAACCTGCTACTAAATCTGCTTCCTGAAAAAAATATCCCGTCTGGCTCACACAAGTTACTTGTTAAAACTATGTTGAAAAACAGGAGTCCGGGATGACCTATGGCCGGGAGTGGCGGCCCACGCCCG